TTCTGATAATAATAAAGAACATGTATTTACAAACATCCAAGGTTGTTGTTTGTTTTGCTGCTTTTTTTTTTTTTTAAATTTAGGTGTCAGTTATTGGAAAGCCAAGTTATTTTAGAAGTCAAGTCTTGGCTTAACAGCACAAATTCACATATCAAAGCACTGAAACCTGTTTTTGATTTATATGTGTTCTTCCAAGAGCTTTTTTCTCCAAAAGCTGCAGATATGCCAGAGAAATAATGAAAAAAGCTTTTGCTCTTCCAGAATAAAACGAGGAAGTTTTTCCTCAAGTTTTAGAAACTCCTGCAGCTCACAGAAAGCCAGGGAGAACAGATTAATAAGAACAGTATTATAATTTTAAGTGGAAATTTAGAAAAAAAGGCAGAAAGCTATGTTAACTCAGAAGAAACATAAAGACAAATACAATTATTTAAGATGTTTCTCATTGTCTCAGCTTGGCTGATGTACACTTTTAATAAGCAATCCCCAGAAATTCAAATGTCAGTTTGGTAAGAAAAAATTTCTTAAGGAAAACTGAAATCTTTAAAAAAAAATCAGAAGACAAGCACACAAATTCCACAATTACTTTGTTCCCAGTTAGCTGGAACCTGGTTACTACCAGGTCACTCCAGAATTCAATGAGAGAGAGTGGACGGTCCTAAAAGAAAAGTACTAAATATGATACTGGATTAAGAAAACACATAATTCATTGGATACATTGAATAAATGACAGCATTTTCTTTCTAGTTCCCAACTATGCTCTTTTTTCTGCCCCTTGTTTTAGTACTCTACCCAGCCTCCAGTTCACACAATTCTGGAAGCTATTTCACAGCTTTCACACAGAATGGTTTGGGTTGGAAGGGACCTTTAAAGGTCACCTAGTCCAACCCCCTGCAGTGAGCAGGGACATCTTCAACTAGACCAGGCTGCTCAGAGCCACATCCAGCCCAAGCTTGAATGTTTCCAGGGATGGGGCTTCTACCATGTCTCTAGACAACCTGTTCCAGTGTTGCACTACCCTCACTGTAACAGATTTGTTCCTTATATCTAGTCTAAATCTGCCCTCTTTTAGTTTATAACCATTACCCCTTGTCCTATCGCTACAGGCCTTACTAAAAAGACTGTCCCCATCTTTCTTATAGGCCCCTTTCAAGTATGGGAAGGCTGCAATAAGGTCTCCCTGGAGCCTTCCCTCTCCAGGCTGAACACCACCAACTCTCTCAGCCTCGTACACCTAACTGCTAAAACTGTCAATCAGGTTCATTCTAGAGCTTGTGTGCAGAGCTCGGAAAAATACAAACTGCATTCTGAGAAGCTCAGGTCTTTTGTTGATTGGCAGTAAGTAAATTCCTCCCTCTACACCTCCATCCTCCTTCATACTCTAGTCCAATTTCTCTAGTCCTTCATGTTCTCTTCTTTAACTGCCAATTTTTTAGGTAACAGGCTGCTTCTTATTATATGTGTGATTAACCTGGTCAGATATGACCACTGTTTGGCCTCTCGATGCTACCTGTTTGCAAAAAAACAAAGTAACATGAAACGCAGATGCCTTACCTTAAGAAAGTGCCTTGTTGCTAGAAAAAGCGTTGAATCTGTTTCTTGTGCTTTTGCACACTGTTCTGCTAATGGTGTTACAGCCTCCAAACAGAGCTGGCAAACCTCTGAACTCATTCTGATCATGGGTGTTAAAGAATCAAAGTCAGATTTCAATTAAATTGTGGTAAAACTTCCCAGCTGTGTCACTAGAAAATATTTTAAATGCTTGTGTGTTCCAAGATTTCTTTTTACTATAAAGCTGTTAATAAAAAAAATGAAATTAAAAAAAAATAGAAAAAGGGGAAAAAAAAAATTCCAGCTTTGTTGCCTTCTTTTATTAGCTACATGCCCCAAGGTAACATAACCCTCTCTGACATAACATTTTCAGAAAGAGTCCCTTATGGTCAAGCTCATCTGTTTCTGACACGTGCCACAGATTAGTGAAAATGGCGCTCCCATTATGAGAGGGAGAGCCCATTGGCACCCTGACAGGAAATGCTCTGGAGCCAGCCCAGTAGAACAGCAGCAATGTTTTGTATTACCAGCTGAGAAACTAATTCAGGAATTGCTTTGGGATACCAGATGAAGGCTTATGAAGTTACACACTCTGAAATGAAGTAATAAAGGAGGCAGGAGTGGCTGCCAGAAAAAACTTACATGCTAAACCACTTAAAGGCTGCATTCAAGCAACACGAGTCAGAGGAAATTCAGCTAATACTACCACCTCAATAGACACTACAGTGAAACTCTCAATTACCAGAGAGCAAGAGTCAATTACCAATATATAATTATAGATACAGATATTGTTAGAAAAGGAAAAAAATGCAAAGAAAAAAATTTAGAGTTTTAACAGGTCCTTATAAAAGTAACTCAGACTTTTAAACACTCCCAAGCTCTATAAAGGATACGATGACATCCCTAACTCCAGTGAGTACATTAGGCTCTTAAAGAGGTCCTCTGGAAGCTGTGGAATTTTCTCAGGAAATATCTCACAAATGAAGGTAATTAGTTTGTAATATTGATTGCACAGGGATGGAAACTGTCAAAAGAAAAACATGGTAGTTTTAGAATCAATCACATAACACTATTCTGACATAATTTCAGTTTTCAGAAGTGTTCCCCTGATTCAAAGTAAAACATTAACACAGTGCAAGCCAATGAAATAATGCCATTCCATTGTTTCATATTTTTCTGTTCTACTGGCAAGCTGCTGATGTCTATGATACAAAAGCCACCTGTATTGTGAAAATAATTAAAGTTACTACTTGCTCCCTTTTTTTTTTCTTTTTTTTTTTTTTTATTAATATCACTGTTTATGCTTCCTATCACATTTCTGGCACTATCAGGAAAAGGATTGCACAAGTCACATTTCAGGTTTGGCTAACTGTTGATCTGCACAGACTCACTTTTAGAAGAAAAAAGTTTTGTTTAGGACCTTCAAATATATATTTTCTCAGCTTACAATATTTCTTTTCAAACAGTACCTTAAACTACAGAACAGTTATTTACATTTTAAAAAGCCTAAAATACTCGACTTACAGAGGTGGAATGAATAGAGGAATTAAATCTGGGAATTCATTACTATAGAGCTTTCATATTAGAGCAAGTTACGTGTTTACAATATACTCACCTTCAGCAGATCCTGGGACATTAGGGGCAGAACTAGATTAACCCCATATAATACAACATCTGCTGCTGATACAGATCTATTTGTAGCTTGTCCAGGCTCATGTCCTCTAAATACTTCATCTGTAGAAAAGACAACAAAATTTTTTATATAAAAGGAGGATTAAACATATTGAAGTAAGAGTCCCATTTCTTTATTAAAAAAGACATTTTTAAAAATAGGACTATTCCTGTCTCCCCAAACAAAAACATGAGGCACTGTATTAAAATAGAAACTTAGTAAGTGGAGGCTACCACATCACTCTATATTTATATTCATTAGGACTAAGCATTTCATAATCACGTGTACCAGATGGCATGCTAAAACAGAACACTTCAGATACTCTGAGGGCTCCCTTCCATTACAGAACATTGCGTTTGTTTCTAGAGATAGCTGCTTCATGCCTGCACACGTGGACAGACAGTGAGCAAAATACTACTGCATTTTTATATTTTTTAATATATTATATATTTACATATGTTTATATATATTTAATAAACAAAAGGGGAAAAAAAATGGGAGAGTTAACAAAAGAAGTTCTGTAGTTTAGACATTGCCAAGTTTTCCCCAGTTCTAGGTAAGACCCACATTTCCTATTAACTGGCAGTGACCTTACTTTTATAATTCCTGCACTGAGTCAGCAACAGTATGCAGACAACTTTCAGTACATTTTATCTCTGGGCATTACATTTAGGTACTATTCACATTCCTTAGCTTCATGGTAAGTATTTTACAGTGTTTTCCATGCAACCAACATCCAATGTCTGACCTCAAGGAGAATATGTTACATGGCACTGAGTTGTCCAGTCAATGGATAAAGTCTAAACCTGGTTCTGCATTTGTGCTGTGCATGAATGACCAAAAAAAAAGAAAAAAAAAAAAAAAAGACTGATGCACTGAATTTTGGAGTACAAGGTTCTCTCTTTCAAGATGTACCTCAGAAAAGCGATGAACAACATCAAAACAACCTAGGCAGATTCTGTTTGTTACTGAGCATGTTTTCTGTGCAAACTCTATAGGACATGGTAAAATGCGAATCGTGCAAATATGTTTCAGCTTATTCGAAAGCAACGCAGCACAGCTAAGCAAGAACTGGCAGATCATAGTCAGGAGTACTGCAATTTTAAGTGGCAAATACACAGAAGAAAGAAAACAGGCTGGGATACAAAACAGGACCCTTAACTACACCCACATCCCATAAAATACGTTCTGTGAATGAGGAATACAGAAAACCCTCAAACGTGATGGAATTTTAATGAACTCAGCATCTCACAGAAGTTGGATCTTGTACTAAAAAGATAATCCATCTGCCCTCTTGCAGTAATTTATTATTCTGACTTCTCTATGAGTTTTTTGTTATAAAACTGCTGCTACTACACGTTCAGGTTTTCAACATTCAGATTTCAAGCTGTTTCATACATGCCCTATTTATTTTATGACAGTAATAACAATTTCAGATGCTAGAATACTGTGAAAGTCCTTCCTTTGCTACTGGCACATTAAACAGTAATTTCCATAACCTGATCTAATCAAGCCTAAACTTCAGTTTCTTTTTACCAGGACTGAACACATGCCCCACAATGGTTTTTACAGTTTAGACCACAAGTTATGGTTCAGCTGTTACCAATTCCCTCATACCTGTATCACTGAAATCTATGAATTCTTTTGATAGAAGATTAGTGAGAAGCTCCATAATAAGAAGGAGATCCTGGTACTGGTCTTCTTCTGCTGTAACATCTATCCGTTGTCGACCTAGATTATTCTTGGAATACACCTGGAGCAGAGTTAGGCAGGCCTCATACAAGTTCATGGCTTTGGCCTATAAAACAATGTTAGATAATAAGAAAACTTCCATATGCCAGAAGTGACACACTTTATTTTAAGATGGCGTTACTTAGTTGATGATGTCTCAAGATTTTAATTCCGTTATATAAACACTTTTTGTAACAACTGCACACAAAATCATCAAGGAAACAGCCTCCTTAAACAATAAGAACACTTACAGCCATATACTGATGTGCTACAGCTGAACATTGCTTTTAACAATTCCTCAATCTTAACAAAAACAACCCCCCCCCCCCCAAAAAAAAAAACCAAAAAAAACCCAAACCCAAAACAAAACAAACCACCCCAAACCCCAAAACACCACAAAAGACAAGAGTGGCTTGGGACAGGCTGGCACATCTCACTAATCTCACAAACTAGATTACCAACAAAGTCCCTTGGGGGCTCACTTCGGCTATTGGAGTTTGAAGCCACAACACACTGTGCACACCCAGTTTGGAGTAGTCAGCAGCTCTTCTAGATGCGAAAGCAAAGTTAGCCAACAGTGCAAAGATGTAAGTGTACTGCACTGACACATGTTACCCATTAACTTCTTGATGCCTGTTAAGGCCTTGTTTAGGGCCAAGGCAGTGTTTCTACGGTACGCGTTTGGGACACAAACCAGTGCTGCAATTCTAGATTAGCCTTCAGAAAAGTTTGATATGGTTAAAAAAAATACTTATGGTCTGCACTCTTTTGCCACCCACACACAGAGTTAGACTAGTGATGAATTGTGGTTAAATTTATTGGTATAAGAACAGGCCAGATGTCCTGTTTTTAATCTTTGCGTGTATATGTTTTTAAACAAAAGAATTCTTCTAACAGATGTGACCATATAGCATTTCTTTCTCTATAGAATCTAAAAATCACTACACTCTGCTTTGATTAACGGATAGCACTGTACACACATTTACACCTGCGTGCACACACACAC